ATTGAAACTGAATGGTGTCGAAAATTTAGCACTGGAGCTCTAATGCACAGTATATCGTGACGATGAATACGAATACTGTTTAAATTACTATTTGTCTAGTACAACTTATAATGTAAACTAAGGAAGCGTGATGAACCGTATAGAGCTCGTGCATCTTTATATTCATACAAGAATCTATGAAAGTTTAGCAATAATAATAGCTTTTAGTTCGAAATGAAGAGGTATGTATACCTGACGAAACAAAGAAAACAGAATTCGCATAATCCTTCTCTCTTATTCAATTGGGTTATACGATGTATTGGAGAAGATGACGGAAAATGTGGTACTGAAGCATTCAATTTCACTTTCCAGTTCTGCAAGCGACAATTGTAGAAAATGCTCCAAAGTGAAGAAGGAAGACAAGAAAAAAGATGATAAGGTAAATAATAGAAAAGATGACCGAACTATGACCTAAAATATGTGAAAATAGCAAAAGAATAGCTCCGCCATTCCTTGACATACTATAAATTATATTTCATGATAATTTATGTATTTTATCAAGTTTTTGAAACTGTTTTTAGTATGAGTCAGCTCAAAATAACATTTGAACAATATTCCTTCGAAGATTTTACCTAAAATATTTAATGTAGTACCATTAACATGTTTCTCAGTGGATTATCTGAAAGATTAATATACAATATGAATTTCATATCCTTTCGTCAAACTTGTACATTTATTAGTAATCTATTGAAAGTAAAATATTTATTATTTTAAATGAATTGTTCGATGAATTATTGATGTTGTTGATAATGTAAAGCAATGCATTTTTTAGTACATAAACGAATAAATTGTTCAGATCGAATTGATCGTATTTTTTTTTAAAATAATTAAACTATTGATTGGTTTAAAATCTTGATTGAAGTGATATTTATGAGAGAAGACAATCAGTAAAAGAATGAATTTATAAATTAATCAATTCAATTCATAGTCACTGAAATCCTTTCTTCATATATGATCTGAGTAAAGGATCTGATTAGATTATTTGTAACGAAAGTACACGTTTGTAAACAATAATTTCAGTCACTATGAATATTTGGAGTCTAATACAAATAATTTATTCAAATACAACTTAACCATGAAAAAGTAAAACAAAATAGAAAAACACAACTCTTAAATCAAACGGACATCAATCATTTTGGAAGATATAAGTTCAAGCTATTTATCTGTTATTTTTTCAATCTATGAAAAGCTTTTTTTATGCATCAGTAACAATTCTAGAAAATTATAAAATTTTTTTTGGTTTCTGTGAATAATACATCGTGTATTTGGACGAGACATATTCCATCGAGATCAAAAATAAAAATAACTAGTTTTGTTTATATCCAGTGAATCGTCTAACAAAAAGGACATTCTCAATTTGTTAGTTTTCTGGCGTTTCATTCTTTACACGGTAAAACTGATCTATTCTAAGTACTTAATGATCAGTTCTCAATAGCAGAAGACATGAGATCTATTATTGTGTATTTGCTTTTAAAAACATTTGCAATATATTCAATGCTTATGAGATATTTTGATACTAATAAGAGTCAGAAACGCTTGATCAAAATAAGTCTCATGATTTATTTTGCTAATAGTAACTAAACTTGAATTTTTATATCAAGAGCAATCATCTGAGAAAGTTTCGTAGATTTCAGGCTAGTGTCGAGTATACTTATCAAGTTAAATGATGCACAAATCGAGCAAACAATCTAGTCATGGAGCTGCTGCATTAGAATTCTTAATCTTTGGTGAGAGATAGCTGAAGATTTGTATAGCGTCGTTTACGCATAACTTGGAAACTATTAATTTTCCTTACAAATCAATCGAGAGAGATTACTCACAAGACAAAGCCACATTTGTAAATATTCATTTTTTCTTGAGGGTAAACAATTATTAACGTATTACGTTATATCTTGAGTAATTTTAGAGATTCCTAGAGTGTGATGATAATTGTGCGGCTGTGGACGCAAAGAACGAGAACTTTGATACCTTATACCCGTCATCGACGCTCGTTCTTAAAGTAGTAGCCCTCTTTTTAAACAAGATATGATTGGCAAGCAACAAAATCGAAAAAAGGATTAAGTTACACAGATCGATATGCTTGTGTCGTGCCATACAAAGAAAAATGTGGGGTCTTATTCTATTTCTAAGTGATATCGATCGTATTGAAATGTTTAATGAGGTTTTAATGAAACACCTGTGTATGCTTACGCCAACAAACAATGCGTCACTTAAATATATATATATATACTAGCGCATGACTTACTGCTTCATGTACAAGCATCTACATGTATTTTAATTCATTCTTGATTCTCGTCGTTGTCTCTGTGACAGTAGGCAACACCAAATCTGAATACTCAAGAATTGAATATACTGATTGTGGCTCACAGGATGTTACTATTCATTCGATTGACATTCATCCAATGCCAATTCATTATCCGGGTAATATCAATATAACATTAGCACATACGATAAAACGATCTATTAGTGAGTATCAGTTAAATGAGATATTATTTCGAAAAAACCTCTCATGTTCTTTATATAGAAACGTTTCAACTATCTGTTGACATCCTGCGCACAGTTAGTAATATTCGTCTTCCAGTTAGATGTTATACAGTTGAAGGTCTTCGTGTTGGCTCATGCAAGTATACGGGTGATGAAATGTGTCACTTAATCAAGAATTGGTGGCCAAAAACATTTGGTTTATATTTAACTTCGCTCGTTTCAACTATTCTTGGAAACAATTGTGATGGCTCTTTAGGTGAACTATCAATCAATCAAAATGTTGTCTATAACAAAATGCTCGAATTACCAGATCTTTCCGGAAGTGTTTTGTCATTTTTAATGTCTGGTGATTTTGACGTCAAAATAGTAGCTACGGAAAAAGGCACAACGGCTTTCTGTGGAATATTCAAATACACAATAAAGCAAAAAAAAAGTCTTTAACAGTATACTAGATACAATGCATAAAACCACTTGCATGTTTGAAGAAAGTTATAAAGTTATTTTGCTTTTCCTGTATTTCCTAAAATAAAAAGAATATTCTGCAGACTCATAGAAAAGTCAGTGATTTTCTATAAAAATATATTGGTCATTAAATAAATATGTCAAAACACTTATGCATTGTGGCGTGGAATGTTTCAGTCGGTGAATAGTAATACTCTATTGTTCAATGTGATAGGATAGTAGAATATTTCACATAGACTATATGGATAATTTTGTATATTACGTGTAGCATATCAGATCACAATGTTTATCGATGTAACCAAGGTCGAACTACGCGATTTTCTCATTATTGTTGTTTACAAAGAGACTCTCACTGTCACGTTTTTCGATTGGTGGATTAATACATAAATAGGGCATGTTCTACTGTATGGGTTGTTTACGTTTCTGGTTACGATAATTCGAATTGAAAATGTTTATTTTGTTGATCTCAAATGGACTTGATGAGTGTGATTGAACGTTAGCGTCTTCTGAGGATTACAGTCCATGTGTTATGCATGTAGATAATGTGAGTATAAGTGACTCTTGTGATAAATGAACAGAAGACTTTTGCTTCCTTGTATCCACATTGTCACTCTAACCGCATATTTCATTTTGATGATCGATCAATCGATGCGATAAAGTACCCATTTAATTGTAAATTGTTTATGAAGAATAGCTAAACGAATATATGCTTTTTGTTATTTATTTAATAAATTGTCATCAATTCAATTGAATTTGATGCATTATTTCGTACGGCATGATTGAATAATATTCTATCTTTTTTATTAGTCTTTAAATAAAGAAAAATTCAAACTTTCTCTTGTCGAATAATGTCTAGTACCCTATTTATTATTTTTTTTTTGTCTCGTTTTGTAAATGCAAGGGAGTTCTAGGTAGTACTACAACGAGATGATGTTGAAACTAGTTTTTTTAAGTATAAAGTAATTTATGGAAAAGTGAATATTTTCAACTAAAAATGTTGACTCTATAGGATACTATGATCAAATGAATGGTTTATAAAAGTTCCATCAAGAGAGATAAAAATAGGTTTTTGACACAAGAAAGACTTAACTTCACCTTGTTGAGATTAAGTATTTGATTTCATAAATACGCGATTTGAAATGATTAAATCAGAGATTTTCAAATAACATCATTCTAACAATAATTATTGAGAAAGGATGGTTTTACATATAGTTATTAACAATAACTTGTATAACACAATACCAAAAACTAATTAAAAAATATTTATATAGAAAAATAATCAAACAAAAAAAATATAAATTTCTTACTTCTTCAGAAATAAAACCATCACCAATACCAATTCATTTCAGCATTATATCTAAATACCATTTATAATGAATAGCATATTTTATGCTTTAATATAGAAATTTTAAGGACATGAAAAACTTTTAAAAAAAAGTATTTATTTACAAAAAAACGAAAAAAAAAATCTCTATCATCTCTTCTCAAATCATATAATCAGCTGTTTCAAGATACATTAGTATTTCTCGTATAATATATTCTGCATTCGATCAATAACACGTTGCAAAAAAAGAAGATCAACAGCACGTTGATAAACAACAATATTACATTCGCTCTATTACACTTGAAATCCTTTTTTCACTTATATGTGTAGAAAAATATTTTGTTTTATTCAAATAAATCATTGAAGCTCTGTATTGTACCTTATCTTTTAGTGTAAGGTACGTGAGCATATTAGTTCATTCAAAGCTCTAACTTACTCGTCAACTCACATTTTTGCTTTGCCATTCTTACTCTCATACTATCACCTTGACCGTCACATTTTCGTCCTCACTTATAATTTCATTTTTGGCAAACTGACGAACTGTCTCTTTCTATTATTTTTCTTATCAGTCAGAGTTTGCTTCTTTGAGAGTAGCTATGAATTCTTATCTTTCAGTGAGTATCTCTTATGCGGCATTAACTGTTCTTCTTCAACATTGAAGATTTCTACATTGAAAAAATCTAAGTGTGTAATGAATCGTGTAGAAGCATTGCGTGAATTGATAAAACAACATCAATGTGATGCATATCTGATCACGGATAGTGATGGTCACTATACATTCTATTCATTATCACAAGAAAATCGTCGTCTCAACTGGATTACAGAATGTCAAGCACAATGTGGATTAGCTATTGTCACTTTACATGATGGAGCATTCTTTCAGACTCCACCCAATTATCGATTATTAGCAAAAGTGGAAGTCAATACTGATGTGTGGACTCTTGTCGATGATCTTGCCCAATGGATTAGTAATCAACGGTTGTCATTGAGAAGAATTGCTTATGATCCTCGTTTGACACCTCTATTCGTTATTGAACAATTCTCTGCTTTGAAGTCGAGTCTTTATCCAATCGATTCATCAAATAATTGGATCGATATCATTTCTAAAACAGAAACATCTAGTGAACGATCAACATTAACATCCATTTGGTCACTGGATGAACTTCGTTTTGCTGGACAAACAAGTGCAGAAAAAGTAGAAAATTTAAGACAAAACTATTTAATTGATGGAGAGAAAAAATATACTTTGATAATAACAGCTATGGATGAAATAGCTTGGCTTCTTAACCTTCGTGGCAATGATATGCAGTGCAATCCACTCTTCTATAGTTTCGCCATTGTTTCATGTGATCAACTCTTGCTGTTCACTGACAACCCTCATAAGGCTAGTCTTCATATAATTATTTTCTGTTCAGTTAATTTTTTCTTTTGTAGGATCTTCCTTATGAAATTCATCCGTATGAAAGTTTCTTTACCTTTCTTTCAACATTGAAAGAAAAAGATGTGTGGCTTGATGAACGTACATCTGTTACTGTCCTTCAACATCTTCCATCTACTGCTGTTCGTGTCTCTCGTTCACCAATCCAACAGATGAAAGAGATAAAAAATTCCGTAGAACTCGAAGGATTTCGTCAATGTCACTTTCGTGATTGTGCTGCCGTGTGCCAAACCTTCGAATGGCTTCAAAAAAACATGGAGAATGATGCATCAAATGTTACTGAAGTCGATGTAGCTAAGTATCTTGAGAATAGACAACGAGAACAAGCATATTTCATTTCTATTGCCTTTGATACAATTTCTGCGTCAGCAATGAATACAGCTTTGGTTGAATATTCACCCTTCGCTGCGAAGACGAAAAAAATCGTTAGTCGCGACTTGTTTTATCTTGATGGTGGTGGCAATTATCTCGATGGAACAACCGACATGACACGTACTCTTCATTTCGGACAAGCGACACAAGAACAAATTCAATGTTACACTCTCTTATTAAAAGCGATTCTTTCTATTGAAATGACGGGATTCTCATCCGATGACACTCTTACTGGATGTTACATTCATTCATTGTTGAAAGCGCAATTTGCTTCTATCAACGATGCAAATGAACATCTTTCGTTTGGTCATGGAGTATCACATGGAATGGGAGTGATTGAAGGTGGGATTTCCATATGCGATAGTCAGTCTTTTGCGACTTCGATTCCCATTCGACCCGGAATGGTAATCACACTTGAACCTGGCATTTTCTTTGAAGGAAAATGGGGAATACGAATCGAGAATGTCTATGAAATCATGGAAGATGAACAACGATTGATTCATTTCATTCCATTAACTTTGCTGCCTTATTCTCGTTCATTGATTGATATCAATCTTCTTACTCCAGAAGAAATGATATGGATTAATGCTTATCATCAACGGTGCCTTCAGTATGTTGATGGAGGAACGTGGATGAAACAACAGATTGACCTCTTCCTCTAGTACAACGATCTTCTTCATTCATTCATTCGACTGATTTTTTTACTTAACTTGATTCCATTTTTCACTTTTATTTTAAATAAACTTGGTGACACCGGAATAAAATCAGAATTTTAACTACGTAAACATTCCATATTTCTTGATTTACGAGCACAGAATATTGCCTTGGACAGCTACGATATCATCTATTAGATCTAAAGAATGACATTAATACTGATCTTTTTTGTTGATTGAATCCAGAAAAAATATCATGTCGATTTTTCTTCAATCATTTACTAGGAAAGTAATACTTATTGTTTTGCCAAAGTTTTACTAGGAGAACGTAGTCACCACATATTAGTTTGATAATCCATCGTCCTTAGAATACAAGTAAACCATGATTAGATTCTTCCGACTTCCTATTATGAGGATGTTTTTATTTGCTCTGTTACAACGTGTGTATTTGTAGGTGCAAATGCAAGAAAGAAAAGATGTAAATGTCCGTCACAAAAGTGATTTATCGATGCAGATTTTTACTTTTTTGTTTTACATGTACGATTGATAATTAAGTATGTTTCAATATTACTACGGTAAAAAGACGAATAATTTTATTTCTGATAATTCTTCTTTATTGTCCTTTCCTTAGTAGTTTTGTTTGAATATCTAAATCTTCTTGTTTGATGAACAAAGATTGTATTGTGGAACTCTGTTATTAAGAAATAAAATGTCCGCGGTAGTATAGTGGTTAGTATCCCCGCCTGTCACGCGGGAAACCGGGGTTCGATTCCCCGCCGCGGAGTAGCTTTTTTTTTTCATTTTTCTTCTTTTATGAAGTAGTACTGTTGTTTGAACTAACAGAAAGAAAGAACAAATAAGATGTATAGACAGCGATGCTACCTTTTCTTATCTGCATATCATGTATTGCAAAGTTTTGTCTTTTTTTTCTTGTTCTCAAAACAGCTGATAATAAAAAAAAAAAAAGAAAGCTAGATGTTGGGTGTAATGTACATGGATGATCTTGTTTAGAAACAAATTTGTTTGAAAATTTCTTTTCCGTAATTAACATCATTGTAAAGTGTTAACTAGAGAAAAACAAATACTCTAAACTTATATATTTCGAACAACAAAATTTCCTTATCTCGTCATTATTATAGAGAGAAATGATAATAAAAGTGTCAAAAAAAAATTGCTACAAAAAGCAAAAAGGAGTATTTCGTTGTTTATTTTTAGTTGTAACCTACATATTATCGATTATGCGTCACGTTCTTGACTATATATTTATTGTCTTCTTGATTGAAATGTTCAAGATAACAATAAAGCAGAAGTCATGTCATTAAAATTTTTCATGTCAAATGATTGCTAATCGAATGAGTAACGATTGTAGCACACAAGTAACTTATTATTCGAAACTAATTTGTCGTGTCGATTGGAATAACACGTTGTTATTTTGGAAAAACTTTATATAAAATATTAATATAGGTCTTAATTCTTAATAATCATTTTTTTATCTATTATTGAATTAGTTCATTCCAAGAATAGACAAATTTTTTAATTAGGGAAATAAAATAAAAGTCGTATCTCGTCTATGATTCCGAAGTCTATAGATTGAAACTGATACATATTACTTTTTGATAAGCCTAATCTCTCATCTTACAGATCTAATTGAGTTTTAATCAGTCTAAGAATACCGATAAAAGAATGTAGTTCCTAAAAAAATGTAAACAATCTATCATTTAACAATATGTAGAAAAAAAATATATCACAACTACGAAGAGTTCACCATTACATATCAGTAAGAAACGAAAATCGTTTTAAAAGGTAAGAAAAACGGTTATTATTCAATCCAGCAAAAGCTAGTAGCTATGTCGGACAATATGTCTATATTCTCCATATTTTTTTTACAGTAGACTAGTAATATTAAGAAAAAGGTTGCCATACAAAGCATTCTGAAGTAGATAAGAAGATTATTTGCAGAAACTCGCATATATGTTTGTAAATAGTTGTTCGGTTTAGTGAAACCAATGTATCGAAGTGAATGCCAATCCATGAAAAATCTTAGTACGTTCCTCGTATTTCAACAAATATGCCTTTGTGAACACAAAATTAACTAAGTAGTATGTTTTTTGTATTTTATTGATTGCAACATTATTTTTAAATCGAAGTTGGGCACCTATGGACTTTCTCGAGTGTAAATGTGACTATGTATTCGTATTTGCCGAACTCTGATATAAATAATACTTTTTTTTTAAATCAGATAACTTAAATCTAGATTTTCCATTATAAAAATTGAATAGATGAGTATAAATTTAGACTATTTGAATTTTATAATCAGAAAAACCTTAGAGCTCTAAGGGAAAATTTTCTGGTAAGCACATAGTCACTCAATGCGCCTTTGGAATTTTTCTCGAGGATATTTGTCTAATATGAATGACTTTCTATTCTAACAGAAGAGAAGAGATGAGAGCATCAAGATCAATATTGATACTTTATTTAGTATATTGAATGAGACATTTCTATGCAATATTTTTCAACTTTTAATATCGAGAATCTATCATCAATAATAATTGCTCTCATTTCTTCAATAATATGGTGTCATCTATAGAACATTAGTTGCCTGATAGAACAAAACGACTCCAATCGAAACCAAGTTCGATGCCTCTTACATCTATCAAATTCTGTTCATCGTAAACAGATATTTTTCTATTATAGATAGCTTCATCATTCTTATATAAAAAATTTTTAAAAAATGGGTTTAAGCGAAACTGATGTTGCCAAACAGGTTAGTTATTTGATTTCTAAAATAATAATCTAAATAATAATAATAATAATAATCTAGATTCAACATATGATTGCATTTATTCAAC